TATTCCCCCGGTGAAAACACGGCAACATGCTCTGCAATTGCTCTCACATATCTGCACACAGCATCTGTAACACATCATCCTTCAGCAAACAGCTATTCCTTTTTCTTTTTTTTTTTTTTTTTTTTTCCTAAATTAGCTGTACAAATTAGTAGGGGACATTTCTCCAAAGAAAAACTTAACAGAGCTAGAGAGTATCAATGTGCCTACAGAATACACTGAATGTTTCACAATACATTAAAATAATTCATATTCAAGGTCTGCTAACAAAGGGGCTGCCCTGCTGCTGTCTTTTGTGGCAATGGTAGATTTCTATTTACCTATTTAGCCAATTCATTTTAGAGAATTAAGCATCTAGTAACTTCTTGAGCACTATGTCCACAAAGCTGCCCAATACAAGCTGAAATAACCCTCAGTAAGCCACTTCACAGTAACTCTCAGCTAGATCGATACAGTACTAATAAATATGTAAGGAGCTCCACTCAGTGGCAAGAGAATGTATTTCCAGCTCTGGTATCTAACATAACATGACAAGAAATAAGTCTTTGGAAATGTAAACACGTGTACTAAACACCCTCTACTAAATTCAATCTCTGCATGATTTATTTTAATCAAAGCACTAGAATCATGACCTTTCACTAGGATAGCTTTATTCATTGTCAGCAACATTTCTGAGAAAATTCAATCACTGGCTGTGAAAAGATGTCGTTTAATCAAGCAGATAGTCTGAATTATAAATGTTAAGTAAAAGAGAGTCCTGCCCAGGTGCTCTATAACGTATGATTGGCATACTTGTTATTCCATGCAGTAATGGGGTGAATTACACTGTATGATTATGCAGCCCTGATTATTTCCTGACAAGTTGGGGTTGACGAATATTAAACACTACAAGACTGTTACTTGAACAACATAGACAGATATGAAATTTTGAATAAAAAGTTTTTAATGACATTTATTTTCTTTGTAACATTATTGGAATCTGATACATAATCACCTTGGCTAAAATTATAAAACTCAGTATTAACTCAATATTTTTATTTTAAGATAGCTAGGCTTTCATCTGTAAGTAACTACTTTTTTCATCTTTCCTTCTTTTTCTTGTACATTCTCTAGACTTTCTTGAAAAACTGAGGCCTGTTTCACAGTTCCTAGCTTCTCAAACAATCTCTGTATTAAAAGTAGTCTAGCCTGAGGGCACAGCATTAGTGTATTTCTAAATCAAACATTCTGAAACTGTGTGGAATAAACATATTTAAATGGGTATGCTACTGGAGAGCTAAAAGGAGGGCAATGGTGGGGGCAATGCCAGAGGAGTTGCAGCTAGGGCCAAAGGCTGTCAGGCTCCAGCAGAGGAAAACAACAGCTCTGCAGACAAGCAGGGCAAGCACATCTGATAGAAATGACCACATCAGCATGCTGCTCCTCAGCAAGAGCTCGCTGACAACCTTTGGCTCCCGCTCTCTGTGTATTTAGCCCCTTTCCTTCTCATCCTTGCTCTTGTTTCTGTTTGAAACACTTCCCCCAGAACACACTTCTCATTCCACTTGCAGTGGCTCCACGACAAAGTGCTGCTCCCTTCCCAACCGCAAATGTGCTTCATGGTAGTATTTCCCCTCCCCATGCTCAGTCCAAGAAATGCTGCATTAGAAATTTATGGCTGGAGTTGGGCTAGAGATGCAGAATGCACCCTAGAATATATCAGAAAAAATGTCTGAGACCACTGCTAAACAAATGCGCCAACCGAATTATGAATAACATATCCAGAGCTAGGCCTAGGACAAACTTCGGAGACATTCAATTACTATGTTCTGTTTTGGTATTCATGATTTAAGAAAAAATGTAAGTAGCTTTATTTTCAGTAATATTTCTGTATGTCCTTAGTCATATTTCCCAAAGATAGTAAAGGTCTGCCCTGCTTCGCAGAATTGCAATTTAAGAAGTCGTATCCTTCTGTATGACTGTCAAATCTAGACTCCAAGGGCCTGATTCCTATACTTCTTGTCCAGCCATGTAGCTGATACTATTACTGTACGTAGGAATGGAAACGGCTTCAGTGCAGAAGGCAAAAACCAGTTTCCAGAAGCCACTGCCTGGTAGAGAGCAGGGGAGGTAGCGGGTGGGAATGAGGCCAGCGGGGAAGTGTCGGGCTCCAACTGGGAATCAATCAAGTACCTACTGCTGGAAGCAGATACGGGCATCGTGTGGGGTCAGAGCTCATGCAATCATATACACGCCTGTACTAAGTTCATCTACCAGCAGACTTATAACTTTTATAAAACTGAGCAGCAGCTGGTAACAACCACCACACAGGTTTCTACCCAGTACAATTATTTTCTTCAGGATGAAACACAGCAGTTAGTGACCACCATGATGCCTGAAGTCTGCCTGGGCCCCACAGTAGGTATCAAAATCCCTTTTGAAGGATCTGGCTTTAGTGACACCCATCATGTTGCTTATAAAAATTTTCATGTTCCTGCAGCATATGAAAAACTTAACTCATAATACCACTGTATAGTTTTGCTGGGTCCAGTGGGATTTTTAACATGTCTAGATTTTACAGGTTTCACATCTTCATAATTTTTCTCTTTTTCTGATTTTCAGCTACTGACTTACCAGCAACTTGGAAATAGTTTTGCCTTCGCCTGCCTGTTATAGATTTTGTATCTTCCTAAGTGGATGTCATATTGTTGCTTTGTGCAGGTGGAAAATCACACTCCAATTTAACAGAAGACAAAATCAATCAAAACTATTAAATTAAAAATAAACTTCCCTAAACACAATATTCCCTTTCCTCCCCTTCCTCAATACTGAATTTTAAATAGGGAATTTAAAGTTTTAATTTAAGTTTTTATCTTTACTGACCCTTAGGTTTTTTTTTTTTTTTCCACTGAAAAAGTTGGTAACATCAGTTACCAGAACAGCTTTTTAAAATGTAAACCCAAGCAGCATTTCTAACTAGGAGACATAATCCTATGTTTAGATTAGGTTTTGAAAAATTTAAATGTAAAAGTAATAAATCTTTTGTTTAGCTCTGTTTTAGATACAAGCTTAGATAAGGGATCTCCATCTTTCTTTCCCCCTAGTTTCTGTCCCACTCCTATAAATGTATTTTGGTATGCCGTGGCTCTACTGAGACTCAAAACAGATATAGAATTAGGAATGAAGAAAAAAAATTACAAGGAACAATAGGACAAAGAGAGAACATATACCGTGATATTTTGGAAACACTGCTATAATAAAAAGTATAATAAAATTGCATTTCACCTTTCCACTCAGAAGTTTTAGCCACTCTACTGAATAAAAATATTTTATACATTAAGCTCTCAAAGTATTCCTAAAGATGCAGTAAAATACAGAAAATTCCTCAGTCACAAACTGTTTTATCAAGATAAACAAATGTTTCGGGTATTCTATTTAAATATTACTTTAATGTTAATTTAAAAGGTTTCAGAGATGCATTTGAGTTCCCCATGATTATAATCAGCAGTCTAAGACTTGCTAGATTCAGCTATAGAACCATGTCAAAGTATGTTGAGAGACTGGCATCACTGTTAGGAAAAAATCCAGAAAAATCTCAAAGACACTGGTCTATGTGATAGTCTGTGGCTGTGTGTGGAAAAACTGGAAATGTCAGTTACAGAGGTAGTTTGCATTAAAATGGGTCATGAAATTACAGCATCATTAGCAGTTACTTTTGAGAACTCTTAAATGATAAATTAAATATCAGGTGCTCAGAAATTGAAATATGGTGCCTTATCCTTTAAAAAGAAGCAGTGGAAGACTTAAGTTATCTTAAACTTCAATTATCTGTTAACAATTTAAATGTTTTTCCTAGTTGTAAGCCTTGAAAAAGCAGTGACAGTGAGTCATTCTGATTTCTTAGCCTGTAGAAACACCACTTCCCTAATTTTTAAGTAAGGCTGTTGACACATTTACAAATGTCATCTTCAGACCCTTCTGAGGGAAGCCTAGGCACTCCCATCAGCCTGGCTCCCTTGTCTTTTATGCAAACCCAGGTGGGTGCTGCTACACCCCCCGAGACCCCAGCGTCCCCTCCAGTCTGTGTTCCCACCACCTCCCCGGCTGGAGAGGCTCATAGGATCCTGCAGTGATCCATGGAGAGGAGCTAGCCCCACAGAAAACACCTCCGGTTCCTTCTGGTAGGGTTAAATTTGCTGCTGGGTTAGGAGCCTGAGGAGAGCAGTGGAGCAGTGCTGGGGCGGAAAGAACTAATTGGGAAGGAGCTGGGTAGGAGCACTGGCATCGATTTATGGAAAATCCTAACTACTTAAGTGTTACCCGAAAGCAGTAATTAACTCACTCTCCAAGACTCAATTTTGGAGTTTTAGAAAGCAGGAATTCTTTATTACAGTGCTGGACACCCGGGGGATAGCTCCTCCTAATGTGTGTCTGTAACGACAAAATCAACAAGCATTTATACTACTTTAATCATATGTATTCAATTTTTATAATATTCATAGCTTTTCCGGGAACTCATTAGCATATGTTAAGGTCTCTTAAAGACATCTTTTGGAGTCTTCAGGTGGTCGCTGGGGGGTCTTTAGACAAAGGCTCATAGTCTTCCTCACTGAGTCCACCAGTTGACCCTTACTTCTGTGCAAACTCAGCCCTGTGGCCACATATACCGTGGCCTCCAAGGCTGACCTCGTCTGGTTTTGTTGCTGGTTTGCAGCTTCCTCATCTTTACGTTTCTTTGCACCTGCTACTACGTGGCTGAACGGTCTCAAGTAAGATTATTTATGAGTTCCTCCTTATCCTGAAGTCACTCTAACTATTCCTCAACAGATTAGCGTTAGCTCTGCAGCACAACGGTTAAAACAGCTTCAGTTGACCTCAGTCATTCTCTTCCACAAATAGCCGTTTTCTAACAACCTCACACCCCTGGGGTCAGAGGATGCACCACAGAGCCACCCGCCCCACCGCTCCCCGCGCTTCCGGCTGCGCACATCCCCCCCTCCCCCCAGGCTGACGTAGCTTCCTCTCCGTCATTTCCTCTCCCGCCGCCATCGCCGCTTCCTGCCCGGCCGGAGGGGGACTCGTGTCCCTTCCCAGGCTCCGCTCCCGCCCGCCCCGCCGCCGCCCCCCCCCGGGCCGCCGCCGCCGCCATGGCGATGAGGCAGACCCCGCTGACGTGCTCCGGGCACACGCGGCCCGTGGTGGACCTGGCCTTCAGCGGCGTCACCCCCTACGGCTACTTCCTCATCAGCGCCTGCAAGGGTGAGCGGGGGCTGCGGCCCCTTTGTTGTGTGTGTGTGTGGGGGGGGAGCTGGGGGTGGGCGTGGGTCGCGCCTCCGCCACGCTGCTCGTGGGCCGCGCAGCGCCTTCCCGAGGGGGTGTCGCAGCGGCGGGGGCGCGGGCGGAGGCCGCGGCGGGGTAGCACCCGCTGACGGCGTTGCCGGACGAGAAGGGGAGCGGACACGGCGGGTTTTTGTGGGGCTCAGTTACCGGGTTAGCCTCGGGGTGGGGAATCGAAGCCCGCATTCGCCCAGTTTGGATCCACACTGGTGGCGGGGGTAATTGGGGGGAAGCCTCGAAAAGATTTGATTGCTTAAAACTGCCGGTTTTTACAGCCTGTGCGCACAGGCAGTGGGTTTTAAAGTGAGCTCCCGTTTAAGCGGGGCAGCTGCCTTGCTGGGCATAGTGTGATCGCGTCCGCCTCCTTTCCCGGGAGAGCTCTCTCCTCGTTATGTGGATAGCATTTCTTCCTCGTACATGTATACATTAATCTTACGTATGTATTCATAAGTTGAAAAGGATATTCCTTCCTGCCTTGGAGTGCTTCCAGTTCAGCTCCACATCATCTTGTGTGAACGACTTTTTGGTAGCCTCCCAGAAAAAAAAAAATCAGAGGGAAGGCTGTTTCATTTTTACAGTGCCTCTGTATGTATTTTAAACGTGTTTGATTACAAACACAAGACTTAAGAGTACTGTTCATCTGAAAATATTGTTCCAAAATAAAAAATCAAACCTGTCCTGCCTGAAGAAAATTTGAATGAAAACCTAAACCAAGTGCTCCTCTTTATCTCCCTTCTACCTTAACACAAACCTAAAGAAAACTTTTATCTCATTTGAAGTAGTTTTTTAATGTCTGTGCAGTTTTAGATGCATGCAGCAAGTACAGCTACATACCTAAGCTCTTCAGCTAAACTCTTACAAAGAATAGCTTCATAAAGTAGGTGGTATTTCCACATGCTGGTACAAGGGGATCTTTTTTTAAAACAGCTTCCTTTTTTGATCATGTTACCTGAATATGGGCTTTGTTTTTGTGAAGATGGTAAGCCAATGCTGCGACAGGGCGACACAGGAGACTGGATCGGCACGTTTCTAGGTCATAAAGGTGCTGTCTGGGGTGCCACTTTGAACACAGATGCCACTAAAGCAGCTACAGCAGCAGCAGATTTTACAGCGTAAGTGATTCACTGTCTTTGAAGTCTGTATTTTGATTTTAGTCCACAGTGTTCTTTTGCGGCGTATAGTTGTAGCAAATTACTGATTCATTTGTTTTCCTTTAGTAATTGTTATCATATTGATGGCCAGCCAAATTAAAACCTAGGTTCCTTTAGGTTCTTGGAAGCAACTACAGTTAATTCTGTTGTGATAAACTACTATGATTGCTTCTTGATAAATATACTGAATTACCATACCGGTTTGCTAGAATAACATTTCTATGCAGCTCTAATCCCTGGCACTGTAGTTATAGCAGAGTTGAAAGAGTGATTTTTATTTTGCTTCTACCAGTTAGTTTATTTTTATTACAAGAAAACTCTTTGTGATGATTCTAGTGAATTATTTCTTTGTTTTTTGTTGTTTATGCTGTTTGCATCATATATTAGTATCTGACAAGTTGAATCCTGTTAGTAGAGGGCAATCTCTATTAATAAAGTTGCAGAGAAGAGCTGCCTTTGTCTTAAAACTAAAATGCTCATTAGTCTATTATCCCGAAGAAGAGGATAAAGGAAAATGGTGGGATAGTACCAAAAAAGCTTTAGTAAAAACATACAAAGTATTCTCATTATCTAACTGGGTTATAACTTATAAGAATGTAGCATTTACGATAAAATGTTATGATGGTGTGAAGTAAGATTTCTTACAAAGTAATCTGATTGCCAAGGTTAATTTGTCCTGGTGCTTCTAAAATATAAATGTTTTCTCTTGCTGTTTAGCAAAGTGTGGGATGCTGTGTCAGGTGATGAACTAATTACATTGGCTCACAAACACATTGTCAAAAGTGTGGATTTTACACAGGTATGAAAAACCTTTATACCTTATTCACCAAGGAAGTAAGCTCCTGAGTATGTTTTGCTGTTAGTTACTTTTCTACTTTTTATGTGTGTATCTTAAACAAATAATCTTGCATACGACTTCTAGTTTTTAAGGCTGTAGCTTAAATGTAATTATGCTAGAGGCTGTCTGAGAGAAAGAACTGTTATTTTAAGACTCTCAGATGAAGGCTGGTATTTTGATTCAAAATAGAGTTGACCCTTTATAACTTCTGTTTCAGGATAGCAATTATCTGTTAACAGGTGGACAAGATAAACTGTTGCGTATCTACGACTTGAGCAAGCCAGAAGCAGGTGAGTCTGCTTTGAGAACTGATTCTCAGTTTTTGGACTTAAGTTCTGAAATTAAGAGCTACTTTCTGTTCAGAATCATAAAAGACAAAGTTAAGGATTGTTTTACAAATGTAGCATCTATAACCTTGCTATAGTAAGGGAATCTGTCTGTTTTAAGTTTGCGCTTTTACAAGTGAATTAGAATTTATTTATAAGGGACTTAAAGGATAGCATGCTTCAGTTTGGTGCAGACTCATTAGAAATATGTCTAATTAATTAAAATTTAGCCATCTGAAAGAAAAAAGACTCCACCTATTTGTGTGTTTAAATTCATGTTGATACTGAACTACTGATGATTGGTATGAAGCTAGAGAACCTTGATGTTAAACTAGTGAAGCTTTTTAAATGTAGGCAATTGGTAACCTAGTTTACTCTTACCCTGTTCCTGGAATAAGATGGACAAATGAAGTTGTCAGTGCTTGAAATAATTTTACAGTTTCTAGTAAATGGAAATCCATACAGCTTAACAAAGCTCCCAGACTGCTGCATAACAATATTTAATTTTCTTACCTGTATTAAAACATTTGGCTTTATTTTAAGAACCTGATGTTGTCAGTGGACATACTTCTGGCATCAAAAAGGCTTTATGGAGCAGTGATGACAAACAGATTCTTTCAGCTGATGATAAAACTGTCCGGTAAGAAAAAGTAACCTTCAGTTTTCTAAGAAGCTCACTTTTATTTATTGTCATAATCTATGTGAGAAGATAGTTAGGTGTTTTGGTAAAGGATGTAAGTAACACAGGTTATTTGGTCCTGGATTATTATAGCTGCATGCCTAATACAGCTCTTCTGTGACTGGAGACATAACTTCTGTAATAATTCTTATTTACCCCATAAACGTGTCCTCCCTGATAAGAAGAGGTGGTCTTTGAGATCTGCGTAGTAGGATAAATTAATGCTTTTCATAATCCTAGAGAAGATGAATTTATAGATGAGGTCTTGTGCATACACATTGTGCTGAGGTGTTGCTGCCTTGTCTTCTGCAATCCAGCCTTGAAAAATGCCCAAGGCATGGACTAGCCAGGCACTGGGATAAAAGACTGGGAAAAGTATCTGGAAACAGTGCAGTGTTGGTAGACATAGCCCTCTTTCTCTGCTGTGCTGATGAGTAGGCTTTAATGTTTTGATAAGATGGCTCATCCAGTCGCAGATAAATGTTTTCTTTATGCCCAACTGGTAGGAGATGTACTGAAACATAGACAAACCTGGCTGCTGGGGAGATGAATTGACAAAGACCCTTCCTCAGGCTATGCTGTCCAGAGAACTGCTTCCTCAGCCTTCTGGCTGACATGACCAGTGTCATCTCATGCCTAGCTGACTCGCCATTCTTATATTTATGGCACAAAGAAGAGAGAAATAGAATGGTCTTTTTTGTGTTGTGAAAGGCGGGATGGAAGAGTGAAGTCACTGGTGCAATTTCCCTGTTGTCTCCTTTTCAGCTCCAGTTCTTCTCAGTTTCCTAACGTTCAAGATAGGCACGAGCCTAGTCTTGTCTTGTTTATCTTTTCTGAATTGTATAAATAGAAATGCAGCGGTCAGCTAATGAACAAAGATTCTTACTTGTCATGGCAGAACAATTTTATTTTTCTGTTTAGATAGCTCTTGCACCCCTAGATAGAAAACTGTTGTCTTAAAGGAATCTCTGTTCTTTGGATAAATTGGCATTTGTACCTATTTGCCTTGTGAGGTAAAAAAGACAGAATTGACTCTCCAAGCCTTGCTTCTAGAAAGCTTTATTGCTCAGGAGACTTAAAACAAGATTTTTAATCTCTGACAGAATCCTTGAGTAGTTAAATGGTATGTGTACCATTTAACGTTGTTGCATTAAGCTTCAAAAGTAGTGGTATTTTAAAATCAGCATGTCTTAAAACTTTGGCTAGGTGAGAATGTAGATAAGGATGTCACTAAAAATCCCAAGTACCTGTGGAATCAAATCACGTTCTTTGTTAGGCATCTTTTTTGATCCAAATCTTGCTGTGGATAGGAGGTGAAAAATTGTTTGATTTGCTGAAGTAATCTGAGAATCTTTTTTTCCATTTTGTTTTCTCTTAAGCCTCTGGGACCGGACTACCATGACTGAAGTGAAGGCACTAAACGTTGCAATGTCAGTGAGCAGCATGGAGTATGTTCCAGAAGGACAGATACTTGTGATAACCTATGGGAAGACCATTGCTTTTCATAGTGCCGAAACGTGAGTCCAAAACACAGAATTTTTACAGGTTGAGTAATGGGCTTGATTGTGGGTAAAAAAATGACTGTACAAGGCTAAAATCACTAAGTTGTTGGAACTGGCATTAGTGGACATCTTTGCTTGCTCTCTTGTCAGAGGCAGAGTGTGAAACAACTACTCTCTTCTAAAATACTGAACTCTAACTGTCTATAAGATGCTAGACTATAAGGGTTCAGTGCCATCTTTGTATTTCATGCTAATTATAGTTGTAGTTAACTGAGTTTTAGCCAGGGTTCAGTTCAGTGCTTTTCAGAGAACTAATTATTTGTAGATCTCTCTGATGTCTTAAGAAAGCAAGTTACACATTTAAACGTATTCCAGAAAGTAATTCTGAATGTGTGGGCTTTTGTTTTGCTTATTTGGAACTTGTTTCTAACTTGATCAGCGTGATTTGCAGGTATTAAAATTAACTTCAGAAACTGGGTGTAGGTCTATTCTGTTTTTCTTAAAACCAGTTGTGATTAGTAGAATCACAGTTTCTTTGCTTCTAGGAATTTTTTTCTTTTTTAATGAACTTTAACAAACTTTTCTCCCTCAGTCTAGAGCAGATTAAATCATTTGAAGCACCTGCTACAATCAATTCTGCCTCACTTCACCCTGCCAAAGAATGTTTGGTTGCAGGTGGTGAAGATTTTAAACTCTATAAATATGACTATAATACAGGAGAAGAATTAGGTATGTTTGTCTTCTGTAATCACAAATGAGTTCTGAAATGGGTATGTGATTAATGAAATAATGACTAATAAATTAAACTGCTGTACTTAAATAAGTTCTTAGCATGCTGTGCAAGAGGATGAAAAGGTATATTCAGTTAAGCATTTTTTTCCTGTCTCTGTATACCTAATGTTATTCCTCTTAAACTAGTTAAAGTGTCCATTAAACAGTTCTTTGCACCTATTTTACGAAAAGTTGTCATTCTGTATTGCTGCAATAGCAAGCTGTATATTAACTTAGGTGTCGTACTGTAGCATCCAGTAGATACATCTAATATGTTGCAGCTACTTGTGTTTATGAAAAATGTGATGGTATATGTTCTTATTAATGTTGGCCAAATGTATTTTTAAAAAAGTGTATCTCTAAATTTGTCTGATCCTGTCCTCTTCTAAAATTGTATGTGTGTGGAGTGGTTGAAGGAACAGGGCATGTGTACTCTGTGCTAACAGCTTGCTTTGTAGTTTTGCTTAGAATAAATAAGCACCTGTTTTCTTGCAGTTAATAAAACATTGATATGTACCTAAATTATAGATTGCCGAGACACTAATGAATAGAAGCTTTGTTTTGCATCAGAAGTTAAATACTGAGAAAGTGCCCCTCACTAGTATTTTTTTCCCTCTTCTGATCAGTTTATACTTACTAATTTCAGTTGTTGACTGAAATTTGAAATTAATGGTCTTAATATGCTCTCTTACAGAATCTTACAAAGGACACTTTGGTCCAATTCACTGTGTGAGATTTAGCCCCGATGGAGAGTTATATGCAAGTGGCTCTGAGGATGGTACACTAAGGCTGTGGCAGACAACAGTAGGGAAAACCTATGGTCTTTGGAAGTGTGTAATTCCTGGTAAGCGTGTGCTTGTTCCTGGTGAAACTTGGCTGCTCCGTGTGCACTTTTGAAGTAATCCATCATAAGTGGTAAACATCATCTGAATTTCATACAGTAACTGTACTGTCTTCTGAGGGTCTATATCCACTCAAGGCTGTTGGATTTAAGGATTTACTTTTGTAGCTGTCATGTGAGTAATTAACCTCAAACCTGTAAGTTTATTGAATATAGATACTTTGCAGAGAGTTAAGCCAGTAGTCTGATGTATTTTTGTATTAAAGAGCAAGAAATAGAAAATATTACTTTTATAAATCTTAGATAAGAATTTCTAGAAAGAAGTGTGGGTGATAGTTTTTATATTGTCCTTTCGTTCTTTAAAATCTGGGGGTGTGGGGAGGAAAGCAGTGTCTAGAAAACTGCAAGTGAATATTCATTAATGGAATTTCTTACCCAACTGTTTATCTTCAATGCTAAATTAAATGGAATTTTTTTTTTTTTAATTAGGGTGGGTGGTGGAAGCTGTGAAGGTATTGACTGTTGTTTTTTCCTTCCTCCTCTCTACAGAAGAGGAGAATGCAGAAGCAGCAAAAGCAAGGACCACCCTTCCGGGAACTGCAGAGGAGGAAATAGGTAATGCACTGAATTGCCAGCTTCAACTCATCTGAGTGTTAAAAGATCAGCCAAGATGGTAGCATTCTTTAGTATGGGAGAGGTAGTTTTCCCCAAGTACCTCCTGCCATTTTTCACTCTTCTCAAAAGATTTTTTGAATGCATTTTCCTGACAATGACCACATGGTAGGTGTCAGACTTTGTGACTAGAGCTGTGCAGACTGAACAGATGGGGTAGAACAACTGAATCGGGTTAAATGGGAAGACAAACTGAAATATTTAGGCAATCCCTGAAGCATTTCTTTGGTTTATATATCTAAGGTGAAGTTAAATAATACCCTTTTTATTTAATTACAGAAGATCTTGCCTCTGAAAACTCAGATTCGGTGTACAGCTCAACTCCTGAAGTTAAGGCCTGATTATTGCAACTGTTATGCAACATATGGACATACAAGACTAAATCAAGTGAACAGTGATAAACAGCAGCCTTCCAGAGTGTGCTCTCTACATAAGGCAAAGATGGGCAGTAATTGATGAGAATGTGGTGGAACTGGCTAGGTGTTGTCTGTAAGAGAACTGAGTATCCAAAAAAAAAAAAAAAAAAAGAGAGAGACAAGGAGTAGTAGAGTTTTGCTATCTTTTTAGCATAACTGCCTACTGTCTTTTCAAAGAAGTGTGCAAGCCAAGATCCAGTCTCTCCAATTTCAATTAGACTCATTGTAGTGTGTTTTCTTTATTATGGAGAAGAGATACTATGGCTTTTACCCCTTTTTTCTTAGAAGTTGGAAACGCTGGCTTTAGTTTAAAAGAAGGGATTATGTACTTCAAGTATTTGGTTCAGGTTTTGTTTCATTGTATGCAGCTTCTGAATGTTTACCTGTTTTCAGTTGTCTAAATAAAATGCCACTCAAAACTCATATGTTACTGTTGAGCGTTGGGTTCATGGAATGGAAAAGCAGCCAAGTTAATTACATAATCCTTTCTAGCATCTGTTTTGTACTATATCAAGGGAAAGCAAGAAGAATGTTTTACTGTTGGTACAGAGGGTGGCAAGTTCTTTGATCTGTAAGCTTTATGTCTTTTTAAAGTTGGAATGTAAACGTCTCAAGTCAAAACCAGTAAAAACTAAATTAAACATACTGCCTGAAATATTTGGTTGTACATGAAAGTCTCAGAGTTTGGCTATGTATCTGTATAAAACTTCGGTTTAGTCCTCCAGGCTGGATGAAAAAGTTACTCTTTCAAGGTTAAAAATCATATTTTCTTCATTAAAGAAAATACTGCTATTCTTCCACTTGTCATTTCCTTAAATGTTATGCTGAAAAGTTTACATAATACATTCTGGATGGAAAGGAGAAAGGTTATACAGAGGTACATCTCTTCATACACCTTTTTATTTTTTCATATTCATACTTGTTCATACTCTCCTTTTGGATTTTTTTCACGAGAGTAAATGAGATCGTCTTAGAAAACTGAGGCTAATATTTGAAAACTGGGCTATTAACTGAAACATAGGCAATTCTGTCAGACCATAAGAAAATACTTTGTGCCATATTTCAAGTAGGCTGTGTAGCGTTTTGTAGAGATGTCTGGGATAGTGTCTCCCAGTTTTAGAGCTGTGACCCTTCATCTTAGGGGGAGTATTAACAATTTTTAGTACCTTTTTTGTGTGAGTTTGTCTCATTGCAACTCTGGAAAAAAAGTAAATGCTGTGAAGTTGTCTGTGTTACCAGACTTCCCTTTTGCAGGTGTTACTACGAAGTTTTACAAGGTTGGTAAGTTTCTAGAGCTTCCCCGTGTTTTATACCTGGAGATTCAACTCGCAGACACTGAAAGCTACCTGGATTCGTTATCAAGACAGCAAGTTAGGCGTTATTTTCCACTGAGGAAAGAGAACATCTTAGAAATTCCCCTTCCAGAAGCGTAGTGGTCGCTTACTGCGTGGCAGCTGCGGGCGGAGGGGGCAGGCTGGGCCCGGGGGCTGGGGCCTGCCCGGGCGGGGCGGGGCGGGCCAAGTCTGCCCGCCCCGCCCGGGTCCGCCAGCGGGGCCGGGGAGCCGCCGGCAGCGCGGGCCATGGCGGGCCGGAACCCGGGCACCGAGCTGGGTAAGGGGCGGCGGCCTGCGGGGGAGGGCCGGGGCGGCGGGCCCCGGCCCCGGCTCCTCCGGCGAGAGGCGTTCGCGGCGGAGCCGGGGGTTCCCCAGGCGGCGTAACTGGGGAGCGCGGCGGGGGCAGGGCCGCTCGGCCTGGGACCGGGCGGGAAGGTGCCGGGGAGCGCCCGGCTGCGGGGCCGGCCTCCCCGCGACTGGCCCAGGGCAGCGCGTACGAGCCCCGCTGCTGCAGAACCGGGTGTTTCCGAGAAGGCGAAGTAGAAAGAGACTTACGGCGCCTTTAGATCCTTTAACGTATACTCGTGACATACAACCGAGAGGCCTGCGGGAGGCTTGCTTTCCTTTCCGTACGCCGGGTCAAACAAGAAGCTGAGGGTTGTCCGTCACGCACGGCCTCGGCTGGAGCGGCCCCGGGCTGCGGGGCGGCCGGCGCTGCTGCTCTCGGCAGCCCCCCTCCTGTCACAAAGCGGGGCCCGGTTCCGGCTTCCGTACCTTTATGGTTCTCTGAATTTATTTCTGACTGAATAAACCTCCTCCCCTCTCCCCAAGAGGTTCAAAACACTTTGTTATTTGGATTTTGATTTGCAAACTCGGGACTTACTGTTCTCCTTGTTTCTTGCTTTCTGAAGACCGATAAGAATTTTCCAGGTGTCTCCAGGCCCAAAAGGTGGCTGTGCCTCGGGTGAGGCAGAGAGGAGCCAAGAAAGGGTTTCTCTGCCACCTCCCAGCTTGGAGCTCTTCTGAGGATTGCTGGGGGTAGGGAAGGAGAAAGGGCTCCATCCTCCTGACTTCAACCAGCAAAACCTAACTGCAGTGGTGGAATGAATTAAGGTGATTAGCCTTCCTACAGTCTGCCCTTAAAGGTAGGATAATTTGGTCAATGTGAGTAGATGGACAGTAGGGCAGAGGAGGTACAGGAGTGGCATCATAAAGGTGGGAAGCAAAGAACAGCAGGTGTAGAACAGGGAGATCTCAAAGTTAGCACGAGCAGAGTTCGGGAGCTGTACTGCAGAGTGTCTGTGGCAATGCTCCTGTCTCTAGCACAAGCATGGGCATTTTTACAGAGCTAACATGCAATTTAAACAATTAGCCTGTGGACAACTAAGGGTTGACTGCGTTTTCATTCACTGAAATTGCTGGCATGATGTAACTTTTAAAAGTGAGATGTTGAATTGCTTTCTGATTTGCTTATTCATGGACTACTTGTAGGGACAACTGAGTTTCAGTTTTAGCCATCCAAACAGCATCATTTTGCTGAAACAAACATGTTAATAATGTAATGCCAAAACTTCAGTGGCTGTTAAGAAAAAAGCTATCATGGAAGTTTGTAAAGGCTTACTTTAAAGTTACTTTAAACTAGCTGTTTTGTGCTTTTTATTACTGTAATTTTAATCTTAGAACTAATTGTCAGTATGTGTGGGGATTCCAGAAACTTTATGTGAAGTCAGTTCAGTACTTAGCAAACAGTCATCCTCTGTCAGAGGCATGCCATGCTGCCAAGTGGGAAACTGTTGGAAGAGACAGGTGACCTCACTAACATTTGGCCGGATCTTGATACACAACTCTAGTCAAAGGAAAAGTATTCAATATGCGGCTGACCAGCACAACATAATAATTGGGTTTTTTCACCCGCTAAAACAATTTTTGAATATGTTCCAAATATTTACTAGAAGTCTTTTCTCTTCTGTAAGTAGCCCTCCCCTGTCCAAGAGGCAGGGTCAACTAATGTTCAGGATTATTAAAGGCAAGCACAGAGGGATGGATATCTTCAGGCCTGCACCATGTGGCTTCTTCCAGCTGCAACTGATTTACCTGGAAAGGTCACTACCCTCACCTTATCCACAGGTACTTGCCATCCCTTCACAGTGATATTTGTTTCAGTCAGTTGCAGTCAAAATGAGCTGGGTTAGATGTGCAGGGCAGGCGTCGTAGGGGAACGGTGTGGCCATGACTGCATTTGTATTAAGTGGCACTAGAAATGCTGTAGCTGTTTCTAACAACTGCCTTATGCTGGGTGCTTTAAAGGGAGAACTGAATCTCCCTGCCATTTGCTCTCCCACTAAATACACATCTGAAATACATTAAGTGCTGTATCTAACTAAGTCACTGAATCTTAGTGCTGTACCTTTGGTGGTAGCAGTACGCAAAAAGGACATGTTAAACCTTTGCCTCTATCTTTCATGGTCTCTGGCAATACACACGTCTTCTGAGACTTAGGTGCTTTGGCTTTTGAAGGTTTTGCCAGCTTGTGCCAGCAGCTTTAACAGTAATTTAAATGATTTGCCCTTTATCTCAGAGCATTGTGTAGGATTATAGGTTTCTAACAGGGACACCTAGTGGTAAAATATCTTTTAATTAAAATATATATTATTTGAGTCCTTTCTTCTATCTCAGCTATTTCTGTGCTTGCTACGTAATGTCATTATTTAAGCAAATTTCTGATGCTGCCATTAGAAAGCATATATTTGTTTATCAATGACAAGCCAAACTCTTCTCAAACCATGGCATGTAATGCTTTCCCATGTGATTTTTTTTTTTTTTTTTGTAAAATAAATACATTCTTCTAAAAGCCCTTAGTTAGTGCTTTCATTCTTCCTATCTGTCTGTCTTATTGTTCCTTAGTAGAGGTATTTACTTGGAATAAAGAACAGGTGCATCTAATGCCGATAAAAAGACCTGATTTGCATGAGCTAATCCGAGGGCAACTATTCTAATACACTGATACATTTGCCATCAGACAATTGTGTCAAGAAGGTGGTTAAGGAATTCTACAGGTTTGTCATTCCGCAGGGACTGTTTGTGGAGCCATTTTTCGGTACTGGGATTCATCATGGTGCCTGCAGGGGCTTAAAGGGATCTGCCTGTCCTGCTCTGCTCACAAGAATGCTGGAGTGTAACGGACCACGTGCTTCATGTTTTGTCATGTTTCAGAAAAGCATCAAATACAACTTTTTAACACCACTTCATAACAAAAAGTGAAACGCATCAGTGAGCATCTGTTTTGTAGTGTAAGCTAGTAGCATACTCCTTCGGTTTAACTGGGGGGATGCCACGTGGGTTTTCTGTTCCCTGCAGATGGAATTTTGATGCAACAGCTTCAGAAGTCATGGAGAAAGACAGGTGCTCAGTAACCTTTGGTAGAGGCAGAAAATGGCAAGTAGGAAGTTTAAAACCAAGCAGATAACACAGCTTGTTTGTGTGGAGCCTGAACTTGTGCCTAGATGCAAGTCTTTCTTCAGGCCACTCAGTAGGGTGATTAGAGCGGGGAATGGCCTGAACAATAACACAAGGTCACATGGCGAAGCAACAGTGGAGTTGATTGCCAGTCACATAGTTTCATCATTTATTGTACTGGTAAAAGAGTAAATCATGCCTGACCAACCTAATTGCCTTCCGTAGTAAAATGACTGGATATGTTGACAAGGGGAGAGCAGTGGATGTCATTTACTTCAACTTTAGCAAGGCTTTTGACGCTGTCTTTTGCAATATTTCATATCCAAGTTGGGACACTTGGATGGGCGGATACTGAAATGCTTAAAAACCTGGTTGGATGTTTGGGCTGAGAAGGTGACGGTCAATAGGTCATAGCCTACTTTGAGGCCGGTACCAAGTAAGGTAATGTAGGGGTATAACCTGGGACCCATTCCGTTTAACATTTTCTTCAGTGACCTGGAAGAGGCGATGGACTGCTTGCTTATAGAGTTTGCAGATGACACTAAATTATCCAGGTCATTCAAAGGGACCCAGACTGGTGGGGAAATGGGTCAGTAGGAGTTCAGTGATATCAAGCCGGGCCGAAGGCAGCGCCCTGCCCCGGGGGGAGGACGAGCCCCGGCAGCCACAGAGGCTGGGCCCTGCCTGCCTGGGGAGCAGCTCTGCCGAAAGGCCCCGGGGCCTGGGGGGCAGCGACGGCCAGCGGCCTCCCGGGCCGTCCCGACGGGGACACGGCCAGGAGCTCAGCGCTTGCTAGGCCGTATCTGGAAGGCTCTTCAGTTTTGTTGCTCCCTAATAGCAGAAAGAGATCAACAAACTGTCAGAAGTTCAGCAGAGGTGCCACCGAGATGGTCAGGGGCCGGAGCACCCGCCCTGTGAGGAGAGGCTGAGGGAGCTGGGCTGGGGAAGCGATGGCTCCAGGGGTCCTAACAGCAGCCTGCTCATCCCTATGGGGCGTGTATCAAG